GGATTCCAGCAAATTCTACGAAGGCGCTCCCCTCGACGTGCTTCGAGATCGGCTACATTACTATGGGGCGTCACTTCCAATCCTAAAGATGGTACACATGGCAAGCTCCGCGTATCATACGGCTCGGCCTACATCACAGTGGTACGGACCTCTCTGCGAGGCATGGCCTTCTTTCAGGATGTGCAGTTGCTCATGTTGCAGTCCGTGCCTTCACGCTGCCGGAATATGACCAGTTCCTCTGCCACAATCCTGGGATTGATTTCGTGGGCTACATTGATGATACAGGGGTCCACGTCAGCGGCGGCGATCGTGACATCGTGCTCGGAGTTGCTGCGCGAGCCGGTGTTCAGCTTCAAGGAGTATCGAAGCGTCTGCAGGCGACCCCCAATGACAAAGTAGCGGCCGTGGCCATCGACAATTCCCTTTGGCCTGGAAGTTGCAGAGATGATCGGCATGTCGAAGTGGCCGTTTCCGACTTTGGCACGGATTTCGCGCGCGACCGACGCCGCGATCACCCTGGCGCGGCTAGGAAGAAGCGGACTCGGTTGAAGAAGTCCAAGCAGGGAATCAGTAAGGCGTCCACGGTTCGCTCGACGCGGAAAGCAGATGATCGTTTCGGTCGGGTCTATACGACGGGCATCAAGATGGCAGCTCAGTGCGGCGTCGAGATCAATGGAGTCGACGATCAGGAGCTGATCGGCCTTCGTGGGCAGGCCATGTCTTTCCTGGCACCCGCGACGAGAGGCGCCAGTCCGAGCGCCCAGCGCGTTTTGCAAGGTGAGCCTGCTGTGCGCGAGGGCATGGGCCCAGCGCCCCAGTGGAGCAAAATGATCTGGCAGGCAGCTGCATTTCCCGACGAAGCGTTGCTCAGCACGACTGAATTAAAACGCACGTGGGACCCAGTTGCCCCCCATGAGCTGCCCGGACCCACGCGGGCCCACACTCGAGGCCCGATCGCCAGAGTGCCGCTGCGCCTCGCCCGTGCAAGCTGGCGCCCCGCCTCAGCCATTGCGTGGGTCAACCAAGAAGGCATCACAATCCAGCTCACCCAGCGCCCCCCTGCAATATGAGTTAGGATGTGCACCACTGCGTTCCAGGATGCCCGCGAGAGGGCGCTGGGGGGAGGTGGGGTTTTCATGGAGGGGCGAGGGCTAACCTGGACGCAGTCAGAAGCTGCCCCAGGACGACGTCCAAGTTTTCTAAGTACCAGAAGCATTTAGTTCGCGCTGCCATATGCGACTGCCTCTGGACAGAGCAGGTGGCACATGGCAGCGGTTACTGCACTGTTCGCACTGGCGCGCGCGCACGTGGAGAGCCCGACACTGCTCATCACAGGCTCTTCTGTTGCACCCCCCCTGCAGTGGCCACCGCTCGGGCCGAACCTGAGTTTCCTGACTCCTTCATTGAGGCCGCCAAAGGGGGGCCTGCTAGCTTGCTCCACAGTAAAGGTGTCGTATCGGTTTTTCCCGGCGACGCGCTCACTGTCCGCGAAATTACAGTCGTCCAAGTATTAAATGAAGATGATGAGGTCTTCCCTCAGCTAAAAGTTGAGGAAGCCACCACCTTCGCAGGCAATGCCGATCGATTGCACATCGCAATTCACGGCAGCAGCACCAAACCGATTCTGTCGCGTTTTCGGCGCGCTGCCTTTGCGGTCGTTTTGTTCGACCCCCGGACCGAAGCCACCCTCTCAATGGTGCGTGGCACTGTGCCTGGAGGTTTCCCACAGGCACCAGCTATGGCTGAGAATGTCTCGCTCGCGGTGGCCTGCCAGATCGCTGATCGCAGGTCGAACGTGCCTGCAGATTGCAAAGCAGCGATCGCCCAGGCGATGCCCCCCCAGCATCAGCAGTTGCGCGCTGGGAAGGTCTTCGCAGGAGTTTCAGCGTTTGCCAGGTCTCTCGAAGGATTTGGCCACGGTGAGTCCATCCAGCATGCGAAAGCCCATCGGAGGGAGGACGCGATAGGTAACCTTCCGCCGGCTCTTCGTGCACCAGCGCAAGATAACCACGTTGCCGACCTGCATGCGAAGGAGGCGATCCGTCCCCACCAGGACGTAGGACCCGAGGCCGCCATCCGAATCGAGAGCGTGGTTGCGACGGCCTCGAAGTTTGTCAAGCTTGCTGCTGCTGTGCTCCCTGCCTTTCAGTCGAGAGCGAAGCGCGAGCGACCCTTTGCCCGCCGTCGGTCGGTCCAGTCGACCCCAGGATGGCACGAGTGGGAAGAGGGACCGCTCGGTACGCAGTGCAAGCAGTTCTTGAGGATCGCCCACGAGGGTGCGTCCCGCGAGGCTCTGGGTTGCCCTGGGGCCCCTGAGTTCGTTCGTGGGGTCGTACGCCGTTCCCTGGGGCACCTGATTGTGGGTGTGGCCTCCCACGAGATCCACCCCAGAACTCCAGAGCCCTCAAAGTGTAAGGTTAATCGTTTGCAGTGTTTGTGTGTTCGTTGCGGGTGCTGGGCCCAGCGGTGCTCGCGTAACCTTGACAAGGCCTGCCTGCGGCCAACAAGGAAAAGCCGTGAGGTGATCAATCAGTACCGCCAAGGTCTCGGCCCCAGCAATCGAATACAACAGTTTATTGATCGTGCTGCTGCGGTTTCAGCATTGCCTGTGGCTCTGAAGCCGCGGTGCAAGACCCTCGCTCGCACCGCTGTGCCGACTGCCCACTCGAGCGCAGCTGCCACCCTGAATACGAGAGACGCCTGGCGGCCCTCGCTGAGCGAACTTCTGCCAAGCAGGCGTTCAGGGCAGAAGCGTGATTTCATTTCAGGTCGTGGTATCCCGTCGCGGGCCCTGTCCTCTGGGAAACAAATCCTTCTCTGAGGGGTGCCACCAGCCTTTTCGTTTTGACTTGCGAGTCTCTTCCCGTCGGGGCTGTCCTAACCTAACCTCCAGCCCCTCCTCCTCCCCCTCCTCCCTCCTACCTCCTGCCTCCTCCTCCTCCCCCCTCCTCCTTCCCCCCCCTCCTCCGACAGTCTGAACACGGACGACTCTGACTTCCTGGCGTCATGAAAGAAAGACGACGGAAGTTTTTGACAGTTTCGGCCCCTGAGGGACCTTGCCAGGCCCCAGGACTGTCACACCACGAGCCAGGACGCAAAGCCAGTTTCTGGAAAGTGGTCCAGACCTTTTTGGGGGGCCACGCTGTAAGAATCGCGACGTCGTATGCTTGGGGACGGCGGTGCAACAGTGCTCGGGTCGACTGCACGTAAGAGTGACCTTTCGCCGGAGTGACCCTCTCCCCCGATCGCTGAGTAGCAGCGGCTTGCGCGCCTGGGTTTGGCCACCCCGCGTCCCCCAAAGGTCCTAGACGAGCACAGGGAGGAGGCGAAGGAACTGGAGGAGGAGGAGGAGGAGGAGAGTAAACCCAGCACGCATCCACGAATCTGCAGAACACCCTCCGGCCCCGAGCTCCCTCCCCACGAGTCCACACCAATTGCGGCTTCAGCGCAGGAGGCGCCCCCCTCCGAAAGAGGAGGAGGAGGAGGACCAGCACGCATCCGCGAACCTGCACGCACGCCCTCCCGCCCCGAGCTCCCTCCCCACGAGCCCACACAAAATGGCCCGCCTCGCTGCACGAAGCGCCCCCCTCTTCGAGAGGCCGGCGCGCCCCGTGGGCCTGCCGGCTCCGGTGAGAGGGGCCCCGCCCTGACCAGGGAGCGTGCACCTGCACGGCCAGGTGGGGAGCTGGTCCCCCGTCTCCCCCTCTTCCCTTTGGGCGTTGCGTAATGGGGGGGTCATAAATGGGGGGGCGGCGAGGGTGGTCCGAAAAGGTACCCAAACGGTACCTAAACGAGCCCCCTGGGGCTCTGGAGGGGCCCGAAAGGGGCACGAAAGGGGACCTTTTCTGACCCCCCCATTTGTGACCCCCCCATTAAGCCACGCCCAATCCCTACGCTCGGCATCACCCTGTCTCGGTGCCGATCTCAGGGAGTCCATCGCCTTGGGCTTGCCGATCTCCGGGACGGGGACAAGTTCGGAACTGGTTGCCTGCATCCACAGCGTGTCCAGCGAGATCCCGTGTTTGAACATAGATGCTTCCGTCTGTAATCCATTGTCTAAGAGCGCACGCCTTGTCATGAGCTTCGAGGAAGTGCCCAGCGAGAGCCGCAGGCTGGAAGGGAATCTCCGTCCAGACGTGCAGCTGCATCTGTTCCAGCTGCTGAACTGGATATGAGGGAGTCTCCAGCGAGAGCCCCCTTTTTGAAAAGGAGCCCTCTTCCGTCCTGGTGAATACTGCAAACTGGTAGGGCGAATGTGCGCGGCTCTCTCTCCCCAATCCGCGCCTTGCCTGCAGCTGCTGTGCCGAATTTGGCCCCGAAGCGTCCCTCTGCTGCCGCGACCGCGTCTTCGACCCAAGTCGCCGCAACACTAAGTTTTGCGCGCGTTGCTAAGGCTAGAGCCCCCAGAGGCTGACAATTGCCAAAAGCCTTCCGTCGCTTAGTGCTTATTCGAAACTGCAGGGCCTTCTGTGTACTGCTTCCAGAAGCCTTGATCTTGAGAGTGAAAATGGTACGATAATGATTCGCCTAGGAAAAAATGCTCCCTGATTGAAACCGGAGCTGGAACCGCTAAAACAACCGCGACGCAACCAAGGCAAAAATGGCGCCGGAACCCGGAAAACCAGTGCAAAACGAGAACGGGAAAAACAGAACGTCCTATAGCTTCCAAGAACCACTAAGTTCCGTCATGCTTCCTAAAGCTCTGATGTCGTGTTTTTTCAACACGCGGTCCCCAGAAGTCTCGACCCATTCCCCAGGATTGGTTTTTCATCCTGAGCCGTTTTGTGACGGTCCTGGGGCCTGGCGAGGGCCCCCTAGAGTCCGAAAGGTGCGAACAAAATCTCCGTCTTGAGTTCTTCGATGCGTTGGATCGTTATTCTTGTTGGTTCTAGGCACGAGGGCGTCAGGGACGTCGAAAAAAAATGCCGCCTGCGGGAGCCGGGCGAGGGGCAAGCGCGCCGCGCAGAGCCGCCCCCCCCCGCCCCGGGCCTCGGCCAGAGCCCGACCCACCGGGCGCTCGCCGCCTCGCTGCCGATGCCCATGGGAGGGGAGGGGGGGGGCTCCTCTCTGGGAGTGATACGCGGGGGGCGGACGGGAGGCAGGAGCAAGGAGGAGGGGAGGAGGAGGGAGGCTCTTCTCTGGGATCCCGATCCCCTCGAGTTGTGTAAAAATCATGACGGGAGGTGTTTCGCTAGTTTCTTCCGGGGGCCTTTCCCGGGCCTCGGGACCAGGATGACAAACCTGTCTTGGGGAAGGGGTCCAGACCTCTGGGGGTCGACGTTGTGAAACAATTACGATGTCGGGGGTCTGGGCCTTTGGGATTGATGCTTGGAGTCAGCTGGGGGTCTGAGTCAGCGGAGAAAAGGTACCCATACTGCTACCCTTGCCTCTTTTCGCCTTTTTGGGCCTCCTGAGAGGCCCTCGCCGCCACCGCTGGACTCGCCTTGAAATCCTGGTCAGAACGCACCTGGGGAGAAGTCCGGGGAGTAGCGGTATCGGTACCTTTTGGTTTCCCCGCAGAGGTGGCCCAGCATTGGATCCCGCCAGCAAGAAGGAGGGGGAAGAGGTCCGCTGGGTGCGGGGAGGGTGTTTGGCTTTCTTCTGCCTCCTGGGGCCGTCTTCGGGCCCCGGGCCCGTCAAAAACGGATGCGGGGCGAAAAATTGCGCCTGACGGACCCCCCGGGAGGGGTCCAGGAACAGATTTTGATCGGATTTGGCCTCATTCCCCCCCCTCCCCCTCTTGATCAATTTTCCAGGACCCCATCCAGTTCAGACCCCCGGACGCCTTCAATCAGGAACGTTTGCTTGGCTTGTCGCGCCGCCTGGGCTGGCCCAGCAGGCTTTGGCGCGAAGCGCTGAGCACGTCCTGGCCCACGAGCATCCGCAGCTTGTCCATCCCCCCGTCCCACGAAGCCCAGCGGCTCGCCATCAGCTTGCATGGCATGGCGTGTCGCAGGGGCCGTCGCCACGACGCACGAAGCAAAGGCTCCTGACCGTCGAGCCCCCACCCTGCCAGGTCGATGAGCGAATCCAACCGTGGGACCATTTTTTAGCATTCGGAGGGGGGGTGATGCAGCCGCCATGTAAGGATTTGCTTCAGACATCTGGCGGCTCGAACACATCGAGACTGCGTTTTCCCCTTCCTTTCTGCCGAGCGTTCTGTTGCATTTTTCGAGCCGAAAACGCCCTGTGTGAGAACATTGCAGCTCCCAGATCTCAGGGGAGGGCGATCCAGGGCGGGATTGGGGAGGGCGGGAGGCTTCCCCCCAGGACCAGTTGTTCATCCTGGATCGTTTGTTGACGGTCCTGAGGCCTAGCGATGGCCCCCAGGGGCCGAAGACGGCGAAACAAGTCCGCTTGGAGTTTTGTTCCACACGTGGGAGGCCTGGGGGAGGGCGAGGAGGAAGAGGAGGAGGAGGAGGAGGAGGAGGAGGAGGAGGAGGAGGAGCAGGGCGGGAGGGCTCAAGAACGCCCCCGGCGGCGACGTGCAGAGCGCGGTCAACGCCGCGGTGGCCGCGTCGGCGCCGCAGCGCCGCGCGGCGCCGGACGGCTCCGGGAGGGTCCGCGTCGTGGAGGCTCCGCGGGCGGCCTCGCCTCTCTCCGGGTGGGGGCCGGGGCCGAGGGGGCGGCGTGGCTCCAGGGGCGCTTCCTCTTCTCCCCGACGACGACAGCGGCGACGGCGGCGAGGACGGCCGGCAAGGCACCAGGGAACCCCAGCGCGCACGTGGTGCTCCGGGGCGGCTCCTCGGGCCCGAACTACGACCAGGAGCTGGCCCGGCGCCGCCGCCGCTGCTGTCGCTGTCGCCGCCGCCGTCGGTGCTGTCACTGCCGCTGCCGGAGGAAGAGGAGGAGGAGGAGGAGGAGGAGGAGGAGGAGGAGGAGGAGGAGGAGGAGGAGGGGGAACAGGGGGAAGAGGAGGACGCCGTCGTCGCCGCCTCCGCCGTGGGATTCTGGTGGCCTCGCTGTCGTCTAGCCCTCGCCTCAGGGCCTGCGTGACCGCAGCTGGGAGGGCGGCCGCTGCAAGGCTCGAGCGCGAGGGGCTCGGTCTCGCAGCAGCGCAGGCCAGAGGGGCGTGCGCCCCATGCCGCCGGGACCTCCCCGAGCACGCTGCATGCGCTGCCGGCCACCCCCCCCTGACCTGTTCGAGCTCCCGATGGGGTCATGACATCCGCAGTGGGCGATCACGCGAGTGAAACGCACGCGTGCAACCCAATCACAGCACGGCACTCGCTCGACCATAGTGGGGCTGTGACCCCCACTGGTGAAGATCAAGATGCGGGTCGGCCAGCGCAGAGGGAAGAAAGGGAGGAGCTAAGCGGGACGGGGGCCTCCATCTCCGAGCAGAGGGCAGCCATCCACATTCACCCCTTCCTTCTCCTCCTCCCTCCGTCTTCCCCGCCCCATCCTTCTCCTCCTCCTTCCGTCTCCACCTCCCCCCACGCACCTTCATCCCCTCCCCCTTTCCTCCCCTCCCTACGGGGCCGGGTGCGGCGGAGCCGCGTCGGCATCGGCAGCGCCCCTGGCGGAGCCATGGGGCCAGCTGCTGGCCGACGCAGCGCCCTCGGCTTAGACTCACCCCAAAGCGAAAGTCCAGCAAGAAGACTCCTCCACCTCCCCCTTTCCCTCCGGCCCCATCGCCCCTCAACGCGGGCGGAACAGCTCTCCGGGGCCTGCGCACCGCTCCGTCCACGAAGCAGCACTCGGCCTCGCGCTCCAGAGGTCAGAATCGGCCCGGGCCTCAAACACGCACACACGTCTATGATGTGTCGCGCCCGCGTGCGTCGGGCACCCCTCGAGTGCGGGAGACCCCGAGGAGGGGGCCCGCTCGTGGCCTTGAGCCAGAGGCTACGGTTTGTATGTACACACACATGCCCGGGGTCCAGGAGGCCCTGCGCTCGCAGCCTGCGCGTATGCCCGGGCCGGGCGAAAGGGGGGGATTGGGAAAGGGGGGGTTACGAAATTTGCTGCATGCAGCTGGTTTCGGCCTCACCGAGGGGCCCATTCCTCGATACATGGCCACCTCCCGGCGCCGGGAGGCGCCAGGAAAATCAGCTACGTGAGCTGATTCTCAAACCCCCCCTTTGCTATCCCCCCTTTCGCCCGACCCGATATGCGCGGGTCCAGGAGGTTGTCTCGTCCTCTCTGCGCTTCTCCCTCTCCTTCCCGCTTCCCTCCACCTCGCGCCCGAGCGGCGCTCTGGACCGGTGGTCTCTCCAGGTGGAACCCGGCTTCCGGCCCCCGCTTCGGGACTTACTCCTCCTCCTCCTCCCTCTCCTCCTCCTCCTCCTCCTCCTCCTCCTCCTCCTCCTCCTCCTCCTCCTTCTTCCTCCTCCTCCTACCCCTCCTTCTTCCTCCTCCTCCTCGTTCTCCTCCTCCTTTGTCTCCTCCTCCTCCTCCTTCTTCTCCTCCCCCTCCTCCTCCTAAGAGCTGTGGCGCCCGCGTGGCAGTCTGCCGCCCTCGAGTCGATCTGTGGTGCCCAGCTGGCAAGCGCCAGAATGCACACACACACACACACACACACGCACACCGGGAAGGAATGCCTGTTGCAAATTTCGACGCGCTCGTGAGCACGCTTCGCACACGCCTGCACTTGACATTTGGCGTCCTGTGCCGCGGCCTTGGGCTTATCCCCATGGTGTCGATCTTCCGCCTGGCCCAGTGTCCAGGCTAAGTTGTGGTCCTCCCCCTGATGCACAAGTCGGGGAGGCCGCTGTCGTTGCGCATCACATTCGCAACGCCATTCGTCTGACGCCGCCGCCAACTTCTTCCACCGCGGAAGAGGAGTTGACTGGCCACCTAGACGGAATTCTGGACGCCTCGCGTAACCCCACCAGGGGTTGTAGGCTTGCGCGCCGCCTCTGCCTAATTAGTCTCTGCGTAGCCCGCTTTGACCTGACTCGCCGCTGGCGCGCTCGCCCGCGGCCGCTGACTAAAAAGTAACCCCACCAGCCAGCGGGGCTTCTGATGGGGCCGCTCCTGTTCGCTGTTTGTTCCTTCCGTCGGCGCGCAGCCCGCCCGTCCTGCACGGCTTTCGACTTGCTTCGCGAGCCCGCGTACCAAAAGTAACCCCACCTGCCCATCGAGAAACGATGTCCAGACGAGTTGCATTGATCAGGGATGTGGAGGAGCATGCAGTGGAATAAAAAAGTGGGTAGGAAGTCGTACCCCAAGAGTGGGAGAATGGAGGAGGATGAGGAGGAGGAGGAGGAGGAGGACGACGACGAGGGAGGCGAGGAGGAGGAAGAAGGAGGATAACGTTGAAAAGGACAAGGAAGATGAGGTGGGGGAGGGGGGGGCGGCAGGAGGGAGGAGGAGGAGGAGGAGGAGGAGGAGGAGAAGGAGGAGGAGGAGAAGGAGGGGGAGGAGTAGGAGGAGAGGAGGAGGAGGAGGAGGAGGAGGAATGAGGAGGAGGAAAGGGAGGAGGAGGAGGAGGAGGAGGAGGAAGAAAGCGCGAACAGAAGAGCCAGAAGCCTCTTGAATGCCTTTCGGCGTCTCTTCGGGTGTCGCTTGGAAGATATTTAGAGGCCTCTTGCGGCGTCTGGGGGGGCATCTTGGCGGGCCCAGGGCCGTCTTTGAGCGTCTTGGGTGCCTCGGGGATCCTTGTGAGGCTTCTTTGTGGGCCCAGGGGAGCCTGGAAACCCCCTCCCCCACATGCTGGTGCTCGCGTGCAAACTGTGGCGATCGCAGCGCACCCACGCCCCGACGTGCCCCACCCCGCCCAATCGTTACCGTCCCCTCCCCCTCCCTTCCGAAAAACGACCGGTACCAGAATGATGTGTTCCACAAAATCAAAAAAGACAACAAAGAAAACGAGGTTCGCCGTGGCCAGAGAAGCTCACTCGCCCCTGCTCGGGCATTCCTCTTGGCATCGCTAGGACGTATGTACTTTGTCTCGGCGAGGACCACCGAGGAGCCGGTTGGGTCATCTTGCGAGAAGAGAGACATGAATCACAAGACACACAAAAACATTACAAAACAAAAACAAAAAAAGGCACGCGTG